ATTTATTTTAAAAAAAAAACACATTCAAATAATCAAATATAATTTGCAAAATCAATAGCTTGACACAAGTTCAACTTCAAAAATTTTAAATAAAGTGATATTTTTTTGTTATAGTATGTGGTAGTTCTTATATGAGATCTAATCTATGACATTATACAACTATCTATTTTGAGATATTACTTTTTTTTATTGCAATTTGGTTGTACGTCTCAGGTATATTAGTCAAGTAATTTTTAGAAACTGAGGAATATAAACCATATTTAGAAAAACATAATATATAAATATATCTTTTAACTTGACTTCGTCTGACATCTATGACATTCAACTTAGGGAGTGCACAAGTAAGCACTTAAAATTTTATAAAGTTGAAGAAGTAGACACACGCGTCCTACGGGGAATAACACACGTGGGAGCCACATAAAATATCGCATAGGACGTGAATTATATTGTCACATAGGACGTCAAGTAGGACACAAGTGTCAACTTGTTCAATTCTATACAAGTTTATGTGTCTACTTATGGATATCTAAAATTGAAGGACATGTTAGATGAAACAAATTAAATGACATATTTATATATTATGCCTTTAGAAAAAAGTATATTTAAATTCTAAATATTTTTTGCATAAAATTTAACCAAACATGACTTCAACTATAAATTTTTTAAATAAAATAAACAGTATTTTTTCATGATCAAACCACACTAAGAAAGGAAATGATTAAATGCCCTCAAATTTGAATTTTTGGTATGAAAAAATCTCATTAAAAATTATACATTCAAAAATAAAAAAGAATTTTTAAAAAAATTTATCAGCTTGAATGTACATGGTTTTGAAGTAAATCAATAAATGGGGTCCATGTAACTTTGCAATGATTTCTTTTACTCCTCCCAATGTATTGGTACACGTGTGCCCATTAAAATCCACAACTATTGACTTAGTGATGGATTCATTGGGAATTACATAAATTTTGGTTGGTTTTTTTGGAAATTTTAATACTTTATGCACAATGTACACTTAAAACTAAGCTTGAAATATTTTTTGTTTGACAAAACTACCCTTGGTCATATAAAAAAAGAAAAATACAACCTTCCTTTGACCAGGAGTGCACAGATATCAATATATATATATTTCTATATATTAGTATAGAAGTTATAATTTGCCATTGTATTTTTGATTTAATATCCGTTGTGCCACTGATATTTGCCCTTCTATGTTTGATTTATTTTCCGTTTTGCCACTGGTCGTTGGTTGGCTTCACTCTTCATTAGTATAGAAGTTATAATTTGCCATTGTATTTTTGATTTAATATCCGTTGTGCCACTGATATTTGCCCTTCTATGTTTGATTTATTTTCCGTTTTGCCACTGGTCGTTGGTTGGCTTCACTCTTCTATATAATAATAACTAGATGAGTGGCACCCGTGCTAAGCACGGGCCCAACATTTTAGGCCAAGTAATACTAATGTTTTGCACCAGCAATGGTGTTGTCATTCGGTCAGGACTTGACTTTTAGTTCCTTGTTTGTTTGCTATAATAAATGTCTAAAATCATAGAGAACATAAAAGCATAGACATTCTTTTTAACATAGGCAACAATCTTCAAAATTACACGTGCCCAACTCTTCCCATAAAATTTATTGCAGCCATAGCTTCATGAGCATACTTCATAGGTAAGAACCAGTAACCCCATCACCACTATTTGTATCCATCTAAGTGAGAATTAACTTTGAATTTCACACAAATAAAAGGAGCACAAACAATGTGTTTGTCTACATTTTGCCCCTAGAAAAATGAATACATTTATCACTTGTGTCTATCATCCATCATCCAAACCTAAAACAACAAACCTATTAGCCTGAATAACTTCATCAGTAGTACTTCAAAAGTGTTATTCCAAAAACAAATAAAAGATAATTTTTTTAAAAAGAAAATTTTAAATTGCCAAACTACCCCTGGCTACAAGTAGGCATGTTGAAACTTGAGAAGTTATTCAAAATTTTATATGATTTTTAAAAATATTTTAAGTTATTAATTACTGTGATTTATAATTTTTTAAGCGATTTTGAAGTAATATATATTATTTCGTTCTCCCAATTTATGTGGCATAGATATAATTTCAAAGAGTAATCATTTTTATGTCTTTAATATTTTAAATTGTTAATTATTGTAATTTGTAGTACCTTTTATGTAATTTTTAACTAATTTTTTTTACTTCTCATGTCCCAATTTATGTGGTATTGATATAATTTCGAAAGTTAGCCAATTTTGTTTATGTCTTTTAAATTTCGAAGTTATTAATTATTGTGATTTATATACTTTTTACGTCATTGTCAAATAATAAATATCATTTCCTCTAAACCCATTTTATGTGTCACACATAGAATTTTGGAAGTCAAATGATTTTTTTATATTAATTTTAAATATTTAAACTTATTAATTATTGTGATTTAAAGTATTATTACTGTAATTTTCAAATATATAATAGGCTAAAAAAGAAATGTAAGACAAAATTAAAAGGAAAAAAATGGAGAATTAATGGTCAATTAATGTGATGCAAATGGAATTTGAAGAGGCAGCTAATTGTTGTATATATTATTTTTTTAAAATTAAGTTGTTAATTATTGTGACTTATAGTACTATTGTGCTTTTAACATCATTTTTATAAATAACATATGTTTCTTCTTTTATCTTAATTTATGTGGCACAATAGAATTTAGAAAGTTAATCATTTTTTATATGATTTTTCAATATTTGAATTCAATAATTACAATAATTGTAGTACTTTTTATATAAACTTTAAATAATAAATGTTATTTTTTCTATCCTAATTTATGTGACATTAATAGAATTTTGAGTGCGATAATTTTTTAATACTATTTTTAAACATTAGTAATGAACAAGCAGTAGATTTTTCAAGAGTCAATATTTTGTTACACGGGGCCCAATATATGCTAATTTTTGTGTCTTAATTTATGTTATATCATGTAAACCTTTTTATGTTTTTTAAACATATTAAATTGTTAATTTTTGTAATTTATAGTATCTTCTTAACATAATTTTCAAATAATATATGTTACTTCTCATGTCTCAATTTATGTGGCATTGATAGATTTTTTGGAGTCAAGTGATTTTTTTATATGTATTTTTAAAAAATTGTTAATTATTGTGATTTATAGTACTTTTACGTCAATTTCGAATACTATATGTTTGTCATCGAACTCATTTTTTTTGTAGAACCATTATAACAATAATAAGAGATATCGAGAGAAAAAAGGAAATAAAATTACTTCAATCAACATTTTTAACTATAATGATTGGAAGAATCGTGATCTTGCTCAACTCTATATTTAAATCAACTCTGTAGAATCTAGATAACCAACAAATAAGATACAAAAATTAATTTTGAAGAATCAAACAATCTAAATATTATACATTCGCATCCGCATTTTCCAACACAACAATATCGCACTTACTATCATGGTTGTTGTTGAACTGAAATATATATTTATTTGACATATCTAACACCAAACCTTCAATGAAGAAGAAGATCATGTAGTATGTCAGCTTTGAGAGTGTAAAATCTTGCAATAACATTACTTGGTAAAAGAAGGTAGGGCTTTAACTTTTAAATTATACTGTCGTAGTAGAAATCTAAGTTGTGCCCATATGATGTCATTGATCAATATACACATCATTAGAATTTAGGAGAAAGAATCCATCTCACAATCATTGGTATTTCAAGAATAAAATGACCTTCTAAAATAATTTATCAAAGTAATTCCGAGAGAATTTTTTTATTAACATGATGATTGTCATTTAACTCAAACCAATAGCCCCCTAAAAAGGCAACAACCGTGACAAATAGATATAAAAATTACATAGTATAGCAAATAATTAAAAAAAAGATTTTATTAAGTAAATCGAACCTTTGTGATCCTTGAAGAATGACACAACTCTTTCTAAGAGCTACACAATCCAAGGCCTTCCATCTGCATATATCACATGAACACTTTAATAATTATAATAGACATAAGAGATAAACATAAGAAATTGAAGGATCAAATATAGACAAATCAAATCTCCCTTAAAACTCCCAAAAAGCGACCATAACTTTTTTATGATAGGAAAGGTTTAAGACTTTACGACTTCATAAGCATGCTAACTAAATCCTCTCTAAAATTTGTTCTTAACTGATAATCATTTCACGATTCAAAATGACTTGTGGATACAAATCATACAATTAAGAATGATGATACAATTAAGCTAAGGACAACATTGAAAAGTAATAAGACAATAATGGAAGAGTAAGAAGCTAAGAAAAGGAAGAAAGGAAAAGGAAAAGAGTAAGAAACAAGCTATGCTCTATTTAGCTAAACAATTCTCTGCTTCAATTCAACAAGGACAAATACAATACTTAAATAGTCCAACATTCTTGCTGGATAGTACAAAACATAAGTGGCCAGCAATTGGACCTAAAGTATTCAATCCTCAAACATATCGGGGAATTTTGATAATAATAGAAACAACTTTAAAACCTATTGGACTAAACTGAGCAACATGAAACTATTCTTCTTAAATAAAACCTACCCAACTTAACGGCTAGGTGCAACCCTTCCAACGCACAGTACACACTCTGCCTAAGCTTCTGCATACATTCTTGCATCAAATGACCATATATTGACTATTTACCATCACTTTCTTCTTATATTAGGCAGTGATTGCAATCACAATGGCACAAGAGGTAAGATATAGCTAAAAGGGAAGCAGTAAGTTCGACGTCAAATTACAACAATTTTTCATTATGTTACATTCTCTTGAACTTAATCTTTACTAAAAATTAGTAGAAAACCTATATAAGAATTTAAGTAGGTAAACAAACTCAAAGATATAAGAAAAAAAAATAGTTGAAGTAAACAATATTGCCTCAAAATAATCAATATTTAATTCACTAACCATATTGACATAAAATTACTACAAGGAATGGTCTTGAAAAATTGGCTCCGAGGTTAACGATTCTCTTTTGGTAGTACCCTTGCCTTCCGCAATGGTTCACAAGAGGAGTGCAGAATCTCAATTCTCCATTTGGTCTCTGTCAAAACTATAAAAAAAAATTGATTTTACTGTCCCATGTGTTCTGTACCTAAATGATTTTCTTCCATAAAACTTCAGAGCTAGATATAACATAATTTAAAATTTGATAAAATTCAAATGATTTTAAAGTGTGGTGCAATTGGAAAATCTATGAACAAAACAAGTAAAAATTTGATGTTCAACATGGAGATCTCAGATCAGCATAAAATTAAGAGTGACTAACACTTGGTATTTCAAATCGAGGGTGAGGAATATATAAAAGCAACTCTATAAAACATGTAGATACGACATTGGAGGACTGAAGAATGAAAATCTCCAAGGAAAAAGTTTTTAAAACTCATATGAAGAGATAAATGAAACATCGAAACAGGAAAAGAATAGCGAGTAGCAAAAGAAGACAGACTCTTGGAACATTTTCCTAACAACATGATCTTGTTGACTCTCTCGTCAAATATTTTTTATGACCAAAATATTTTCAAGATAATGGATTTATCACTGTTGTTCTTCACTTAAATGTAAAATTTGGTCTAACAGTCAAGTTTTAAACTTGTGATACAGCTAGCACATCTTTGTGTTCCACATAGCACAACATTTACTGTTAAACCAAACCCCTAGAACATGAGGATTCTCTTGGCGTTCACCAACCGCTTATTAAAATTTAATAAAATTCATAAATACTCTTTTTTATAGCTCAACTAATTCAGTGAAGGACAAACAATTCCTTGGTCCCAAATAACAAAGTAACTTCTACTCTTACAAGTCAAGAAAAACACTGGCAGCTATTAGACAATAATTTATTCAGGTCACATGGTAAGACTTTCTCCTACATGCCAATTGTGTTTGAAAATATAGGGTACAGTAGATGTCGTGCTTATTCCACACAACTTAAGCTGGCCATTTATAATTGTGGCAGACAATTGTTTTTGAGAACAAAATACTATGCCACATCTTTTAGTTATGTTTTCCTATTCAATATTTTAGCTTTTACTTTCTTTAATCGTATTCGTTTTGCTTCCCAAGAATCAAAACAATGGACAATAGAACCATTTGGAATAGATTGATATGGTACTTTCCAAATGTTCAACTTCTATTTCTCAAATAGGACTTCATCTGTGACATATTTAAACAATTGTTTAAAGCGTAAATAGCCTAAACTGTAAATGGACCTCTGTGAACTTCTAAAATATTAATATCATAAGAGGAATAAAGAAAAAAATTATACTTAAAAGGAACAAGGAAAAAAAGTACCTTGCTATTGTTTTTCAGAAAAATATGACAGAATACACCTGGATCCAATTCTATATATTTCTCAGTTCACAATCATAAGGATCGCAAGTTTTAAGTGTTTGTTGAATCGACAACGCCTACAAAGAGAGCAAAAATCAACTGTTAAGAGAAGCTGAAAATGGCAAGGAAACTGTATGTAAAGTATATGTTTCTCTGCTTTCAACTTAATTGGCAGAAAGGAAAAGTTAGATTGGAACTTTCTGTCAACAATGACATTAAAAATAACAAGGAAATCGTATCAAATCTACAAAGGAATTTTCTTCAAGCCAAATTTTATTTTTTTCCCGTCTCGTCATAGGTAGAGAAATTTCATCATGGAACAACAACACTCAAAGAAATTCAACAGTGAAATTGAAAAATGAAAATTGTAAGAAATATAAGTATAGATAGCGTTAAAATATTCTTCAAAGTGAATAAGAAGAATTGAAGGCTATTATTCCTTCTTCTTTTTTTTGGGTTAAAATTGGGGGTAGAGGTAGTGGTAGGGGTAGGGAAAGGGAAAATGCGAAGGGGATTACAATGTGGAGAATCAAACCGTCACCAACAAGGCGGAGTTCAGGTAGTCAACAAAAACCAACTGAGCTACTAAGCTTTTACAAATTGAAGGGCTATTCTGCTTCAGCAAGAGCCAATATCTCTGCTTTGAAGAAGGAGGATGTTTTAAGGTCACGTGAGTGGGCAAGCCTAAAAGAAATTTAATGAATGAGAAACGAATTTTTGCCCGTGGATTCATTTATTATGCAACTCACATTAACATACAAATTGGTAGTAAAATTGAGAATTTTGAATTGGAGGTTTTATTTAGAAAAATAATGGCCAAAAGAGTTACTATCTACATGATTTGGCAGACCTCTCCAATTCATTATATTTATTAGACAACAATCAAGATAGATGAAGCTCAAATGACACTTCTAAGAACAGAACAATCTCTGCTAGATCGACAATTTCTTCTTGGGAATCATTATTTTATTAGCCAAGAATTAATATAGGTTATGGATTCTTCTTAGGAACAATAACTTATGTCACAATTTGGCACACAAAATAACAGGGCATCAAAGTTATACTTTTTGAAACAATCTTCTTTATTAAATTTATTGACTTGAAAATAAATAGCAATAGATGAGATAATCAAAAAACCTTTTATCACCCCCACAAAGTACAAAAAGACTTGTACAATTACCAAATGAAGCTTTAATAGTACAATTGATTTAGCTCGTAACCCATAAGCTTTGCACCATCATCAGGAGAAGAAGAGATTTGAAGAAGATGAATGAGCACTTTGTCTCTTGGGTCTTAGCAATTGTAAATTATATATGCAAGTAGAGGAAAGAGATCTAGAAGGATCTGGAATGGAAAGCAAAAGAAAGCTTGATTTGCTAAAATATCAATCATGCATAATTACCATTTTACCCTTGCATAATAACATAATTGCTAATTTGCCATTGGTCGTCCGGTCGTCTTCACATTTCTATATAATAGAAAAATAGAAATATATATATCTATTATGTTATGTTTTGCTAATACGGAATGTTGTGTCTAGTGTATATATTTATATATATAATAGCCTTTTATATGAAATTAATTGATTTTCGTAAATATGATGAATATAAATTATTTATGAATTTGAGAAGGAATAACAAAATACAACAATTGAGTAGATTGGATGTTACACTACTTTAAGAAAAAGAAAAAAGGTACTCTATATGATTTTTGAATGTTATTAACTTATTACTCTCTCCATTCCATATTAATTTAATTTTTGAGGTATTTTTCATTTTTTATATTAACTTAGTTGTTCAATTTTCAAGATTACTTTTAGAGTGTTCTTCTAATTTTACCCTTCATTAGTTAGTATTGGAATTAGTGATTAATTAATATTTAGTTATTTTAATTATAAATTTGACAATAATTAACAAGGATAAAAATGAAAAACTACGTTCAATTTATGTCTTAATCTACTTTTCTTAAAGGATGTGAAACATCTCAAAAATTAAATTAATATAAAATGGAGGGGAAAGTAAGAAAACTACTGTGATAACTTTGAAGACAATAATAGGCTCTACATTTATAGAAGTCCATGTGATTTGTTTTACTCTTCCAATGTGTGGATAGCCATGTGGCCTCAAGAATATGCTAGAATTTGGGTGATTTTTCTGGAATTTCAGTTCTTCCCATGCACAAAGTACAATTGCTATTAAGCTATACATTTTGCTTATTTATGGATTTGCCGTTGGTCGTCCTCCTCTTCATGTTTCTATATAATAGAAAAAATATATATATAGAGAGAGAGATATTCCAAACTAGCCCTATTTAAAATGTAGATTTTTTTCATTATAAAAAATTCCTTTATTTTGTTGGTCAAAACTATTATCTAAAAGTCAAAGTTCATAAGAAGGTTTATCTATTTTCAAGTCATGCTTATTAATATGATGATGAGTTAGAAAAATTCTTTTAAATTTATATATATTGACAATCTAAATCTTTTTATAGTGTCTTGTGTAATGCCATATCACTTACAAAATTATTATTTAAATTTTTTTTAGTAAAGCTGTTTGACTTAGTTATTTGTTATATCTTTTTTTCGTCAATTAGATTTTATTTTACTCTATAAAAAGTTGTTTATGAAAGAAAGATTATACTATTTATTTTGATAAGACAAATCAATTTTAATCGGAATTTATTTTATTAATTATATTTTGAATTTAAATTTGGCAACTATTACTAAAAAAATAATTACTAGAGCTATTTGACTAAGTTATTCGTTATATCTTTTTTCGTCAATTAGATTATATTTTACTCTATCAAAAATTATCTATTCCAAAAAAAAATTAGAGTATTTATTTTGATAAGACAAATTAATTTTATTAGGAGTTTATTGGAATTTCCTTGATATTTGAGTTTATTGGATTCAAAATAAATAGAACTCATATTGCAATAGTTAAATGAAAATTTTTGCCTACCAAAAAATAGTGGTTAATGAAAATTGAAAAGAGCAGATAATGAGAGAGAGAAATCATACTTTTTTTTTATACTATTTATTTTTTAATATATAATTTCTGATGTATCATAAAAAATATATGATGTGTAAAAAAATAACGCTGAATATCACGTATAGTTAGTTGTATTATATGCCCAATGATCAAGTGAGATAGGAGTTTAAAATATTGTGTTTTATCGAGTTTAAGTATTTATTTGACAAAATGATAAGTAGAAAGGTCCAATTGACAAATGGAACCAAATATAATGATTTTTCAAGTCATACCGCCTCCTAAATATTCACCACCAACATTTTTGCTCTTAATAGTGGGAGTGATAGAATTTCATGTCACCCTAAATAATCATGGTTGGAAAAATAGTAATTTCACCCAAATTTAGGTTAACAAGAGCAAAGGAGAAGACCTACCACACACAAATCATCTATTTCCTCCCCATACCTGTTGATTAAAAATAGCTATCGCTCTTGAACAAAAATTCAAAATATATTCAGATTCTTTTATTTTTAAAACTTCAAAATCAGTCTTTAAAGTTTTATCTTCTTCACATTATCAATTCCTTGTAGAAAATTTTACAAAATCTCCCTTTCTTGGAGGTGGTTGCATCAACCACTTTCTCAACCATGCCATCATCCAAACACATCTAAAACTGATGGATGAGCGTGAGGGCCTATTGATCTGAACAGTTCCGAAGTAGCAAGACGAGTGAATGAAGGCAACTTAGGAATCAATCAACTTTAATCCACAACCTTTATTGTCTTTCTACAATAATGATATGGATTTGGTTTCTTCATTTGTCTTTAATGATGCATTTTGGGACAATTTCCTCAGTAGTGAATTTTGTATATACCATTTGTCTATAATGTCCCTAATATCTTGATAGTCAAAAATGACTTTCATGCATAGACATCATTTTTCATAATTATCTCTCCTAAGACCGAGGAATTGAAAGAATAGTAAACTATTATTTCTCATGATTCTAATAATGGTAAATAATAATCTCATCCAAGAATAATATCCACATTAAATAGCAATAATAAGAGAATAATAATATCATCAAATATTTTAACGGAATAAAAATATAATACCCAAGCAAAATACTCCCTCTGTCCAACAATACTTGTCCACTATTGACTTTGCACACTTCTTAAGAAACTAAAAATAACAGGGAAATTTTACTATATCACCCTTTGAATATAATAAATGTAATGTCTTGAAAAATATAATGAAGAAATGACTATAATTAATGATAAGGGTAAATTAGGAAGTAAATGTAAAATTATTCATTGATTTCTCAAAGTGGACAAGTATTGTTGGACATCTTAAAATAACATAGTGGACAACTATTATTATACAGAGGGAGTAATTAATATCAGTGATTATAACTTGATGGTATCAAGAAACTACCACACTTTCTAAATAAACAACATTCTTTTATTTCACATAACTTATTACTCCCTCGGTCCCTTTTTACTTGTCAAATTTTGACTTGACACACCTATCAAGAAAATATTGATTGTTATAGTGAGTTTATCATTTTATCCCTATTAATTGAGAGGATCCCAAAGATCTTTACTAACTATATTTTTTTAAGACATTAATTTAATATTAATAAATTGGGGATATAATAGGTAAAAAAAAAGTTATTCTTTCTTAATTTGTCAAAATAACAAGTAAAAAAATGATAAATAAATAAATAAAAAATTGAACAAATATAAAGGAACAAAGAAATACAATATTATTTCCACATTATTTTCTTACCAATTACAGAAAATATAGTTTGTGGATAACTCTCTGTTGCTCTCTCTCAATTTATAGGAATGAAAAATGTCAAAAAAAAAATCTTGTATTAAATAACCGGTTGCCAATTTTCAACATAACATATTTCTTTTGAAAAAAATAAATTGCGCACTGTAAACTTATGGAATAATCACCATCGAGAAGATGCAAAAGGATCAGAAAGAAGAAGATACAGAGAGAATTATGGAAGAAAGAGAACTCATTCTCATTAAGCTGAAAGCATTAAAAAAGTATCTTTACATTGCTATGTCTATATAAAGGAAAGTTACTGTGCTAACTAACTCTAACAACTTTCTAACCTTCTAACTGCTTCAAGAATAATTATCTTGAGAACTGCTCTAATCCTAGCTATCATAAGTCTAACCAACACCCCTCATCAAGATGATGGTTGAAACAAGTTCTACAATCCCAGCTTGGAAACTAAGTATTCATGTGGCAGTCTTCTTAAGCCCTTTGTGAGCACATTAGCTAGTTATTCCTTTGTCGATACATGCAGTGTTTGAATCAGCCCTTGAACAAGTTTTTCTCTTACAAAATGACAGTCAATGTCAATGTATTTGATTCTTTCATGAAATATTGAATTAGTAGCAATTTGGATTGCATCTTTGCTATCACAGAACAAATGTACATGCTGCTTAATGTTAACTCCTAGCTCTTTGTACAACCCTTCCAGCCAGGTTATTTCAGTAATTGTAGAAGCCATGGCTCTGAACTCAGCCTCTGCAGAGCTCCTTGCTACTGTCTCCTATTTCTTGGACTTCCAAGATACTAAGGCATCACCAAACTTCACAGTGTACCCTGTAACTGATCTCCTGGACTCAAGACATCCACCCCAGTCAGAGTCACAATAAGCTAGTTTGCCTGAGCTTAATGAAGGCATTAACAGTCCGAGAGACATGGTTAAGCTTTGACATATCTGACCACCCTTAGAGCTGCCTCTATATGAGATTGTTTAGGCTTGTGCATAAACTGACTCAACACCTGCATAACATAAGATATGTCCACTCTTGTCATTGTTAGATATAAGAGTCTTCCAATTTGTCTCTGATATGGACCAGCATCATCTAATAGCTGATCACTAGGTTCCATTTTTTTCCTCATTTACATGATTGTCATACTCAAAAGAGGTCAGCTTGACATTGGTTTCTAGAGGTGTGCTAGCAGTTTTAGCACCTCTAAGCCTCATTTCTGATATCAACTCCAGTACATACTTCATTTGGCTTATATGGATCCCCTTTTGTGATCTAGAAAACTCCATGCCCAAAAAGAACTTCAACTGGCCCAAGTCTTTCATTTTAAACTTCAACTTGAGATCATTTCTTGTCTGTAGAATCAACTCAGGACAACTACCAGTTACCAATAGATCATATACTAAGACCACAACTAGATGAATTCCAGTCTTTTTGGTAAATAATGAATAGTCAAAATGACTTTGTTTGAAACCAAGTTGTAGTAAGGCCTCATTAAGTTTCTTAGACCATAAAGGGATTTGTGTAGTCTACACACTTTATCATTCCCCCTATGGCTGCCAAACCCA